ATACATATGTATATAATATATACATATATACATATATATATTATATACACACATACATATATATATCTTGTATTTTATTTATATATTTAGAAAACAAGAAACCCCCTACTACCTCCACCCCGTCCAATTAAAGAAGTGCTCAAGGAAATCTTAGAAAATATTTAGGACATTTGAAGAAAATTAAAATATTAAGACAACACAAAGTATAAAATACTTAGCTCATAAATGAATGGTATGTGAGAAAAGTAGAGGTTGCATTATTTTCCTTTTGAAATATTTAAATAAGCTATAGGATATTGCTGAAGTTAATTTTAAATCTACTGTTCATTTATACATAGTTTTTTTAATATACATAGTTTTAAAAGTATTATTTTCTAGCCACAACTTATGAAGAAAGGATGATCCTAATTCAAATCTTAATCTGTTGTCTCAGTAGAATTATCACAAAGTTAATTGAGTTGGCTCACACCTACTGTGTCTTATAGTGACAAACACAAGTGATAAGAAGTTCTTACTGGGAGCTTTACCCTTAATGGTCTTTTTAAGCTGCTACTTGGTGGAAATGCTGTTAAGGCTGTGGCCTTCCCTGACAGAATTGGAGTTGACACTGATGGGGAGCTTGGTAAGGGGCTGCTGACTGCGGTGGCCGTGGCTTCGTACTGGGATCCTTTGGAAAATAGAAATCCCTGTTGACCTATCACATTGTTCTCAGTAATCTCATATCTGGGAAAGTCATTTTCTTGAAGCACCACAAAGCCAGAGAAGGGCTTGAATTCAACCCCAGTCTCCAACCGCTTCCCTCCTCTCTCTCTGGTTAAACTATAATTAAACTGTACCGTAACTATAACTTAAACATTGAGTTTACTTTAAGATCACGGATTTGAATTGAATAGTATTAAAGTATAAAAACAATGCTAGTGTTTTGCAATTATGTGTTGTCTTTCATCCTGAGTGCCCATTTGGGCAGTGGTTTTCAGGGTGTGTCCCGCCGAGCCCAAGGATCCTTGGAGGTATACTCAGCTGCCGTGCAGGTTAAGCTGGGGTTGGAGGAGGTGCAGTGAGCTGGGCTCCAGCCTGTTCATCCTTTCCCCCTCACCCAATCTCTGCATTTATTTACTCTGCACTGGTTTCTGTGTAAGATTTCCTCTTGGGTAAAAAAATGTTTGTATTGTATTTAAAAACTCTGGAGACAATTGCATGCCTAGCATGTGAATCTAAACCCGTGTTGATATTCCTCTTTCACACTATTCTCGGCATCTGATAAAATTTTAGATCTTTACACTAGAATCTTGACCTGTCGTTTATACAAGCATGGTTTGTATCTTTGCCTCTCTCCTCCCACCCCTTTCTGGCTTACAGGCATCATTTAGTATCTACTTCTATGTGGTCATAGTATAAGGATTTGGACACGGTACTGTAAAATACTTAAATCGTCAACAGATAGATTTTCTAGAGATATTTTCACTTAAATTTGTAAAATAAAATTGTGGGCCTTTGCCTTTAGAATTATTAAGAATAAGATGTTTATGTTCATCTTCAGTGTATAGATAAAGTACCTGTCTGGATGCTGGATTAAAGCTTGTGAAAACTGGAAAACTGAGAGCTAAAAGCCAGTATAGCTGGGATGCGTACCCTAAATTTACCCAAGCCTTCAAGAACTATGTACTAAGGTTCATGAGACGGTTGCTAAAGCCATTTTATTTGTGTGTACCTCAGTAGGTATGTTGTTGAAAGAAACTAATTTGAGAAAGTGCTATATTTGGTTAAATCTTTTAGCTCAAGAAATATCCAAAAATTGATAACAGAACCAATCCCTACTTCCTTCTAAGCACTCCTTTCCTCAGTGAACAATCCATGATCTCCCCCACACCCAAATTTAAACAGTACTTTGTGGTCAGAATCATCTGAATATGTGTGTTTATAATGTCTGAAAAGAATGTTAAAACAGAATAATTAACTACATACAGCATGCTCTGGGTTGGAGAGAGAAGGAAATTTGAACTTTAAAATTGAAGAAGTTTAGTGATTTTTTAAAAAATTTAATTTCTGAACTTTCATAAGAAGTCTACTAATGCGTTGTAGTTCCTATTTCCTATACTTTAAACAGGAGATGCCTTCAGTTTTCCTATATGACGACTCATGGTTGCAATTAAACTCCTACACAAGTAGGTAGGATAATGTAGCTGTCTCTTTGGGGTATGGACAGCATCTCTTCTGAGGAATCCCTTTACTCTTTCAATTCCTTCTTACCCCTTCTCAACATATTTTTTTTTTTTTTTGGTAAGCTAACGCCTTACATTTTATGTAAGTGAAACTCAGTTTTAGTTTAGTCTCTCTTACTCATTGTTTATTCTCTTATCATTTCACTTTTACTTCATGGAAATTTATGGATTTCTAGGCTCAGCTTGCCAATCGGAAACAGAAATTAGAGTCTGTGGAGATGTCCAGCCAGTCAGAAATTCAGCACCTTAGCAGTAAACTGGAACGGGCCAATGATACCATCTGTGCCAATGAGTTGGAAATAGAGCGCCTCACCATGAAAGTCAATGACTTGGTTGGAACCAACATGACTGTTCTACAGGAGCAGCGGCAAAAAGATGAAGAATTGAAAGAATCTGAAAAACTGTTAGAGGTGTGTTTTAAAATTGCCATAATTGGGGAAATGTGCCTATGAGTGTTTTAAGAGAGGACGATAATTAACCTAGAGCTAGGTTTTAACAATCTATGGTTTCTTCCCCACTCTGGCTGGTGAATCAAATATTGATAGCCATATCAATGTTATGCCTATTATATCACTTTAAGTCTGACTCACTGGCTTCCTTCCCTCGTGTAATAGAAAATTTTAATAATGCATGTCTTTTTTTCTGAGTATTTTGCAGATTTTACGAGAGGAGAAGAGAGAATTGAAAGCAGCACTTCAGTCGCAAGAAAATTTCATCCGTGAAGCAAGACTTCAAAAGGAGACGCTACAAGCAAAATTAAGGTTGACTGACACTCGGCATGTAATAGAAGTCATAAGATATATTAAAACTTAAATGCTATTAATCTTAGCTACTTGGTGGTTTGGCATTGAGCACCACTTTTAATATGTCCATTCTTAGTTCTGTGTTTGATCATACTGTGGGCTATTTCTTCTTGCCTTAAACTTTTATAGTGTTATAAAAATCTGCTAGAGTTAGTTTGTTTTTTTTTCCCCTGCCTCCAGTTTGAGTCCCTAGTAGAGACTCCAGTCTTCTAACTTCAGTAAGTTAGAGACCTCTTGGTCAATCCTTACCCTTGGTGAAACTCCAGATGCAAAGGGAGCTGTAGTCAGCATCTTCTGGAGGACCTCTCTTCTTTAATAAAATAGATTGTGATTGGCAGTAGCTTATTATCAGTAACGTCCAGTCATCGAGATAACCCATTAAAAAAAATTTCTAAAACTAATTTTATTTGTATATATAATTATTGCTATGAGAGGTTTGTAGTGGAAAGCAATAGAATGAACTATGTGTACTCCTTTTACTTGGTGTAAGTCTGGTGCACACTTTCATTCTTGCCAGAACTCTCCTCTTCTGTAACTTTTCAGTTTTCTTTGGCTCAAGGTATAAAGTGCCAACCAAGTGATTTTTGACATTTTATTTTTCCTTCTGCCTGGAAAAACAGACCAAATCCCAGGTGAGAAAGGAGTAAATTGCTGCTGACTTTTTTGAAAAGCATCATTTCTTGTCTGTTTACTCTCCCAGTATTCTTTGAGTAAAGCAGGAGACAAACTGAGGAGTTCCAAAGATAAATGGACTTCAGTAATCATCCTATGTCCTTCCCTAGGTCACTGGAAGAGCCTCAGTCGGAAAGGAGGTGCAACTCTCAAGGGCGAGAGGACTTAGAAAATGTGCTCTCCCAGCTGGATTTCACCCACACTAGTGAGGAACTTCTGCAGGCAGAGGTGACCCGTCTTGAAGGCAGGTAGATAATTATGTACAGATTTCACAAACTTTCAAGTTGTTCAGATGAATTTGTGATCATCATATTGATAAAGTAAACAAATAACAGTATTTGTTATGGATTGACTGGTGTCCCACTAAAAGCTAAAATATGTGTTGGAATCCTAACCCCTTTACCTGTGGATGTAATCCTATTTGGAAATAGGGTTTTCTTTGTTATGGTAATGAGGCCATTATCAGTGTAGGGGTGTTTCTTAAACCCGACCACTTTTGAGACAGAAAAAGCAGATTAGGCACAGAGAAAAGCAAGGACAAAAGGGCAAAGATAGATGCCAAGGAACTGAGGAACAGAAGCTGAAAGAGACAGAGATCTTCCCCTAGAGCCAGCAGAGAGACAGCTTTTGCCTAGAGCTGGTGCACTGAATTCAGACTTCTAGTCTCCCAAACTCTGAAGAAATAAGTTTCTGTTTGCTAAAGTCACCCACCTGTGGTATTTCTGTTACAACAGCACTAAGAATCTATGATAATATTCTTAGGGAATAAATAAGTCTGTTATCTAGCATCCACAGATGGCCTAGTTTCTTATATCATTAAGAAAATAGAAGCAATTAAAGGAGAATGTGCAACTCTTTCCACCACATCTATGAGCATCTGCCGTTAACCAGTCACCTGCACTTAATCCCTTTCTCTTCTGCATCATACATTTCTTCCTCTCTGCTGAATCATTCCCACTGGTATAAATCATGCTTTTGGTTAGCAGCCTGAGCTCTTAACCACTGTGCCAACAGAGCTCCACAACAACATAGACAGTAAATATAGACAATATATTTAAGAATTTGGTTTTCAAGGGAAGCAGAGATAATGTAGAAGGAACTTGATGGGGATGTAAGGTCATAAGTCAGCTCTGACATAAGTCACTTTTTTTTTTTTTTTTTTTTTTTTTTTTCGTTTTATTATCAGTATCTTTATAAATCCAACCT